AATAAACGATTTTCATATTTAACTTCATCTAAATAACTTCGATAACCATACTTTATAGAAGTTGTAACTTCGATGAAATAATTTATAGAAGTTATAACTTCGACGAAATATGTTTATCGAAGTTACAACTTCGATAAACATGCTAACTTCGATACGACATATATACTTTACGTGTGTACAACTTTATGTACTCGAAAAATGAAAAATTCACATTTAATATATCTCAAAATCAGTGAAACTATCTTTATATATGGGCAATTTGATTCGCTAACGATGTGATTTCGCAAAACCAAAATTCTTATATGTCTAAAGTCTAGCATTCCTTTTAGCATACTTTCATGTAACAGATATAAGTGGAGTTACTCTAGATACTCTGAAAATACATAGTCTTATAGATCTTGATGCCGCCAAAAATCTTGATAATTTTTGTAGAAGACTCTTTAGACTACAAAATTTGTATATAAAGTTTTGCTTGAACATGCTTGGATTTTTCAAAATGTTGCGCTTATTCGTTAGCAATATGATCAAATGTGAATGTAGAATCAAGAAGTTCTTTTGTAACTGAATATGAAGTCCAAAAAGAAATTCTAAATACTGCAAACTCTTCTAGAGAATCGCACTACGGTAGCGAAACAAAAAGTCTCGTTCTTGAACAAGAGTAGTCTTCGAGAAAACTGTTTGCGAAAGCATTTTTTTTCGGGTTCCAATCTTGTTGAAAATTTCATCATAGATATAGTCTACAGTTTTCTTGAAGTATAATCTGGATGAATGCTTAGTTATTTTAATCTTGTTAGTGTTTTATAACAAATGACTTATTAGTTTAACTTTAGTTTGTAAAAATGTATATCAGATGTAAAACTCAAAAGAATTTTAAATTTAATACTGGTTCTTATGGATGAATATTAAACTAAAAAGTCAGTCGTTAGGTCATGAAAACAGGATTGAAATAATTGAAAAATCATCAAAATTGTACTTCAAGCAATCTAGTACTATAGAACCATATTGTTCGATCTCTAGAGATGCACTCAATTCAAAAATCAAACGCATAAAAAACCATTTCATTTCTGGAACGAAAACAAAATTGTAAAAAATACATATTTTAAATGTATTCGTAACGTGTTCAAAATATGCACTTTTTCCAATTTTGTTTTCATTAATATTTTGCCAGATTTGTATGAGCTTTTTTACTTGTTTATCTGACTGGGAAGATGAAATGATATTATCCGTCATAAGTATCATACGTAATTGATATTTTTCTATATTTACAGCACAGTTTTAAAAGATAATTTTTGTTTCTAAAAATTGAATACATAACTCAAAAGAGAATGATGATTTTCAAAGAAAACAGACTTAAACTGTCGCCAAATCACCATTGTAGCATTTCAAAACGTATTGGTGACTTCATTTATAAGAAACATGAAAAAAAGGAGAAAACGTTTTCTTACTATCCTATATCGATATTGAGTAATTTTATATATCTGTTTCTTTTTTGTTCTGTTTGTTCTCTTTTTCATTAAGTACCATTTACAATCTTTATTTCATTTTTGATGATACTATAATTGTCTGTTGGCGTCAACTTGAATTTTCTTTAAAAACAATTACTTGCTTGACAAATCATTATTCTAGTACCACTTGTATATTCCATTTATGAAAACTAACCATGCTTCGACTTTACTGTCTCAAAAAGTTTTATTTGTTACACATATATTTGTATAAGCAAGGAAATAATAATAATATATTATATCGTTAAACAATGCTTGAAAAACTGAAACGAAATAAAATTCTTGTAATAGCAGTAAGTTTATTTTTAATTCTCATCATTGGATCATTTCCTTCTGATGTTAATATTTCAAACAATAATGAAAATTATTTTCTTGATACTAACGCAATATTTGATGCCTTAAAACAAGCAAAAAGTCTTGAAGCTGAACTTGAGCAAAGATATCAATTAACTGCTATTCTACTTCATTGGAAGCATTTATCACGAGCACAACTAACAGTTCAATACTATCTTAATATAAATTTTTTCAAAGAAATTATTGTTTGGAATAATAATCCACTTATTAATCTTACTCTTAATGAATTTCTGACAAATAATCAATCACATAATTTAGTTCGTATCATTAATTCTAAAGAGAATTTAAAAGATGAAGCAAAATATCGAGCATGTGCTGAAGCTAAAACACTTGCTTGTTTTTATGCTGATGATGGTTGGGATGTATCTCATTACATGAATACACTAATTGCTAGTTTTCTATCAGATCCAAATGTTTTACATTCAGCGACAAATGAAGTGACATATTATAACAATATGTTATGGACATTTATGGATTCTCAAATTGATTTACATACAGGATTTTCATGGCTCGGACGTGGCAGTATATTTTTACGTGAACATGCTCAACGACATCTTCAATTACTTACAATGAATTTACAAACTAACCAAGGTATTTAGTTTCTTTTTATAAATAATTAAAATGTTAATTTTTCTGTATTTAGAATTATTTGCATTCAGTGATTTATTTTTTTCCATTTGGCTCAATGATATTCCATCGCAAATGCTAGTAAATCTTCGTTCGCTACCAACAAATGTGAGTGAGGCTGACATATTATTTTCATCTATAAATAATTTTTATGACTTTCAATACACAAGCTCAGTTCTTGCTATCCGTAAACTTGAATATTCACTACGTTTAAACCAATCAACGATGACTGTTAGTTTTCCTCGAAAACAAAATCGTCGATTTCCATATTGTGTTAAATCACCTAGTCCACAAGATGATTTTATATTCTACAGCAATGTTTTACCTGTTGATATTGAACATATTCAATTTGATGTTACACGAGATGCCGAAAGAGGAACATATCGAAATGTTCCTGGTGGTCCGAATTACACACATTTCGTCAATTATAATACATTGAAAGCGGTTGATCATGATGAAACAACATGTTGGCGTCCAAAAGGATTTGTGAACAAGGGCGACTTTTTTGCTATTGACTTTTTACGTATACAAAGTGATATTATATTTTCACTGACTATTGGACATAGTCAAAAAGTACAAAATAGTCTTAATATACGAATATCATTTGATGGTATACGGTGGATATCACATCAATCACTCAAGGGCATTTCTATTATTGTCAATCGAAAGTCCACTGCAAAATTTCAACGATTAGTTATCGATTCAAGGCAATTTTCTCCTGAATTACAATCATTTCGTTATGTTGTATTCAATGCAACGTATGCTTTGGACGAAGCATTTCAAGTGTGTGATGTCCAAATTATAAAAAGTTCTAAAAGCAATTCTAAATAAAATTAGAATGATCTCTGTCAGTTCAGTAAAAATTTCTCACATTTATGCTCATGTTATTGTTACTATTGAAACAGGAAAATAAATTTTAGAAGAAAATAAATTTGCTTATTCATTAAAAAAAGCGAAAAAATAGAAAAATAAAAAGTAATCTTTTTTCAGTACCTTTCATACAATTAACACGTTGTCAGTATTAAAAATAATTAAATATATATAGCCGATCTTCAACAAAATAAAAAAAAGCACATTATTGTAATACAATGGTTTCTTTCACATAGAAAAATATTTATTAATTATATCTATTATTATTGAATAAATCAGGAATGTCTTTTGTATTCGAGATCTTTTATATTAACGCTACCTTACTAGCAATAAAATCACATGTCTATTATCTATAGAAGATGTTTAGATTACGTATGCATTCCTCAAACTAAAACGCTTGAAACTTTACTTCTTTGCCATTCATTCCACATTGAAAATCACATGACTACATGCTTTATTGTTATTAATTATCTTTAGCTTTAGTACATTAGTTTTCCTGGTCACATTATCAAATGGTGATACTCCGTTATCTAGTACGAGTTGTAATATTAATGATGTATAAAAATATTTCTGAAGTTGTATTATATAAAGATTTACAATTATACAATGTACAGATATATTAAATTACAAATTAATTGAACAATTATATGAATATCTTAGTTTTTTTTTTCTTTTCATATCTTATTCATCTCATCGAACAAGATAAAAAAAGGAAAGACGAAGAACAATGTGTATGCTTTACTGACATGAACTAGTACAGTAATGAAATGATGTGAGAGAATGAATTTGCACCTCTCTACATTCTATACATTTTATGGGTCTAATCACCTTATATCTGTTCTCAATTGGAATTGCAAACGCCTAATACTAACCCAAATAGAAATAGTTTTGTAATTATCTATCGAGAATAAACGGCTCTAAAGGATCGATCATAGTTAGAAATGTCAATAAATTGCTTAACATTAAGACATATGAGTAATGATCAAACAACTACTGTAGATTTTCTTTGTAATTAAAAGAAAGAACTTGATCTTACATCAGCAAAATTTCAACGAATCAATAGTGGTACACTTGATGCCAGATGTCATTAAATTAGTTAGTATTAAATATGAACAGAGTTTCCTACAAATAAAATTAATCAAACGACAAATTTATCTTTCTAATTGTTTTTGTCTTGTTTTTTACATTTTATATTACCGAAACCTTAGAAGAAAGAAAGAAATTTTCTTGAAAATTCTGAATAATTTCATAAAGAGTAAACATACCTATATTTCATAGAAAATAAAAGTCTATTTATGTTTTCTTTATTAAATATTGTCATGTATATAAGTGTATTATTTAAATAAAAATAGTCACCATAATACATTGAACCATCATTGAATTATCGATTTTCATCCAATTTTACTTTCGAACTATTGCATAGAAAACGACTATATCTTCAATGATATGTTTTCTTGTAGATATTTGACTTGTGTATACAATTAAATAAGAATATTCGACACAAACATGTATGTTCTAGATAATTATAGTATTCAAATATCATGGTAAATGTTCACTGACTTTTCTCTAATTTTGCTGAAAATGTACAACAAAGACGTTACAAAATTAATAAGATCTTATATCGATCTCTTCATTGAGATTTCTAGTAGATTGTTGTATTATGTTCATCCTTATGTTGATTTTATGTACCACTTATTAAGTATCGATTATTATATTGGAAAAACAAAAACAAATTGGATACTTTAGCTTTTTATAAGATTTTTATACAGCGTTCTCAAAAGAAGAACAAAAAAAAGGCATTTATTAACTACAATATATGAAATGAGAGAAAAATTTAAAAACGAATATTTCAATAAAGATTTTGTTTCATTGAATATTATCATAAAAAAAAAAAACAAATAGAGGAATAGACAATAATACTTCAATATCTATTAGCAATTTAATTTAATTTGCACTTAATTTCGTTTCATTGCCAACTTTGGGTAATGTACATTCACGTCTCTTTTTTCTTAATAATTCATAATGACTAGAAACAAATCGTCTTGTAAACTTAACTAATTCATTCCAATTTCGATCCTTGATCAATCGATCCATATGTTGATTAACATAAAATTCATCTAATGCATACATTTCATCTGGACTCACATAATGATAATTATTTGGTTCGGCTTCTTTATGAAACTGTAGACGTCCATCTCCACGTAGTGTAGCTTCAGGTGGAAATGCCCAAAATCCTACTTGTCTTGTTATTCGAACACCTAATTGAGCTGCAAGACAAGTAAGTGCAACATCTGATATTTCAGATGTACTTGGCCAAACATTATCAACAAAATTTGTTAAATTTGGTTGCATTATTTCAAGTAATTTCATACTAAAGAAAAATCCAGCACCACCTGATGGAAATTCAACTGTAATTTTTGGATTTATTTCTCCTAGACATGGATGATGTCCTGAATGGCCACCCAATAAGATAGGTTTGGTATAATCGAGACCATCAAGACGTTTAAGTAAATGATGAGGAAGAATAAATGTATCACAACCAGCTATATAGAACCATTTTTGACGATTCGTCAAAGAAAGTTTCATTTGTTGTTGATAAATTATTTGAAGACCATAAAAAAGTTTTTTCATATTTGATAATTTATCTTCACCAGCACCGGGTACAACAGTTACGGGTAAATATGGATAAGGAGTTGCACTAAGAAAATAGTAATTTGTAATACGTGAAAGCCATGTATCACGAGTAGCTGTTGCTCTTGTATGAAAGAATGATGCAGCTGTAAATATAACAAATGCAATATCTTTTTCAGTATATGTTTTAGCATTTTTCCAATCACTTCTTGGAGTAGGTACTATGCCACAATACTTTTCAAGAGTATTTTTTCTATAAATATCAAATGAATCGTTTGTTTGTGTTGTTGATGAAGGTGGAAATCGATTAATATTAATATTATCACAAATAAAACTTTCGAATGATTGTAATTTTTCGGAAATATTTGAATTCTCTTTATGTAGAATTTTTGCTTGTTGAATAAATGTGAGTGAAGTATAAATGAGTGGATGAAGATTTTCAAGTCTTACATTTGTGGCCAACATAGCGATGACGGAAATCAAGACGAAACAAGAAATAAATATTAATAAAGAACATTTTTTACTCATTGTTGAAATTCCAGATGGCATATTGCTATTGATGGAACTCATGATCTAAAAGTTTTTTTTGTGATTTTAATCTTTTAAATGCTAATATAATCTGCTTTTTTTTTCGTGGATGATAATGACCTTCTCATGGATCTTCTTCATTTTTGGAATGTTATATTCTCTTAAAAACATGTTCTGTTTTAGAAAAAAAAACTGCTCTTTTGACAGGCAGTTTTATACTTGTGTTATGAGCTTCATGTGGATTTTTTTATTTAAAAGTTACTTATGATGTTTTATTTCAAAAGAGAAAAGAATCACTTAATCAGCTTCTTCATACATCACAGAAATCATAATTTATTTTACAACTAGAAATCTCTCAATTATAATCACTATTCAACTCTGAGAGTTCTAAATGTTACTTTTTTTGAACAATATAATTATTAAATCTATCAATGAAGAATAGCATAAAAGACGTTTGTAAATATACCAAGAAAAGACTTGATGGATAATTTCCGATTATTTGTCTCTCAAATATAAAATACTTTAAGGAAAACTTGTTAACATAGATTCTTAGAGGTTAAAATGTAGTACTCACATACTGTATATTGACTAGGAAATAGATTAGTAGAGATCTATATTTTGTTTAATCAAAAATAATTTGAAGTCTGGAGCAAATGAAACACAAAGTATTACATGCTAATTAAATATTCTTTTTTTTTATGTCATGGTGATCAACATAGACACTGTTTCTATCATACGGCTTTAGGTAACTGATGAGCGAATCTCTCCAACTGTTCGCTTTCGATTTTAACTAGACTAGTTTCCGAGAAAAAATTCCAAAGTTTTGAACGAAGTCTCTTCACAATATGAAACTTTCAAGATATGGACCCTATTCCTCGACTAGCGCATGCAGCACGCAGTTTTTGAAAGCTTCATATTTCGAAGAGATTTTGTTTAAAACTTTTGAGTTTATTTTTATAGCAGCTAGTCTTGTTTAGTTCTCTATATATACAGTATTTCTCGTGAAAATGACACATGTTAAAATTCAATAGCCTAGTCGAATCATAATAGTGATCCAAATCCTTTAAGGGTTTTTATTAGAACACTATGTAGCATCTGTAGGCAAAAAATCATTGAAATCAGAGGGATATTTGAAGAAATATCCTCGTAAGGACAGCGATCTGTAATTAGGATTCACTCGTGGCAGCTAACTTGAGAACAATCTTATATATATTTTTTGGAGAGGAAAAATATTTTTCTTTTGTAGAGCACAAGAAAAATTTCTACTTCTGCTGGAAGAAAACGAAAAATTCTCATGACTGGAAAGAATCATGTCTCCAATACTTACCTGATCGAATTGACCCTGGATATAAGGAGAGAAATTCATAGAAGACACCTATATATGCTTCCAGTGACATTTAAATATATTAAATAGTGCTCTTTAGAAACAATTTTTCTTGATTTCCTGTTTCCTTCTCATGTTCCTGTTGTCGAACATTTTTTACTCACGTTCACGTAAACAAAGGTGTGAACCGATATATAAATTGACGGTAATGGTTGAGTTGAGTGTTACATCTTTTTTTCTTTTGGTGTGGCAGCTGAAAATGTTCAAGTATTCCTTGTTGGTAGGCAATGACGAACCTAAATTCTTGGAAGACTTATTAAAAAATCTGTTTTAGTTGCAAGAACATTTTTGATGAAAAATTACGAAATAAACTGTTGAGAACACAGACTGATGAAAAGTCAGATGACATTAGCAAGTATACGATTTGTTGAATGACTTTTGTCGACATCGTTCCTACTTGCGTTCCTATGGGAAATGGGACCGAAAAAAAAAACATTTTCGTAAACTATTAATATAAGTTTCACCAAGAGAAACATGGATGAACAATATATTAATAAAAATTTTGGAAGTTTATTATGAAAAAAACAAAAAGAGGAAAAGAACGTGTCTATAATAAACCACTAGTAATAAACTAATATTATGTTATGTAAAAATGAATTGACAACTAGAAACGAACAATTGTGAAAAAAATTCGTTTAAACATCTTAGTAAATACAGATGTATTTTATAAAATGAAGTGGAAACAATGAATTTTTGTTGTTTTTAAAAATATCAGAAAAGTGTAACTAGAAATTAATTATTAATCATATTATAGCAGATATAATAAACATATTCGCAATAGAAACATAATCAGAGTAGGGATTCGATCAGCTGATGAATACAGTATTGACTAGAGTTGAGTTTCGACGAAAACTGTTGTTTATTGACTGAAACTTTCCAATTACTATTGTCAATAATATTCGTAGCGAAATAGATGTATTCCATATTTGTGTACATCAATATTTCGCACAAAAATAGTTATTCTCAATTGTATTTATTTTCTCATAAAACAGCAAATAAGAATAAATAGGTCATTTCATTCGTAATATCATAAAATATTTGATAGAAAGGGCTTATACATTCACTCATTAGTCTCTCCATTTTAGCAACGTCCTTTTCCTAATAAACACAGAAGTAAACGTTGCTCATTACATAAAAAAAAATTACTTACAAATACTCCTTTTTCTGTGTTTTAATCTCTTCTTATATTAATAGTTGAGACTAAACTCATATTATTTTTATTTCTTATATTCAAACTGACACATCTGTCATCAATGATAGTTATTGAAATAATGTTTTGATATAAGCCAAACCTTTTAAATGAAAGTAATACTTCAAACAAATTGACAATTTCAAAATATGATTCTAATTCTACGTAAATTTCTGATTCTTTTTGTAGTTATATCATCAAGTTAATATATTTTCTTTTAAATTAAAGATCAGCAATTTTAGTCATCTGTGAATGTACAGTAAGTAAGAAAATAATTTGTTTCGTACGATGTTTTACAAAACAATAATAAGTTTTCTTTAAGCATCTATGTGTTTTCTCATCCTAGATAAAACATATATGATCATAAATCAAGAAATACAATCATAATACTGACTCAGAGACAAAATATTGTATTCGTCATCGACGATCATTTACGTTTATACTATTCATATATGAAAGTTATACATGGTGTTCATTTTATATTATTCCCATTCTATAAGATCATTTTAGTTGGTATTTGATGAGAGAGATATATACGATCGTATATTTGCACTAAGAAATAATCTTTTAGCTATGATTATAATTTCCTAAAAACAACTGTTGAAAATCTCAATCACTATCGTATACTAATTAACTACCGTTTCGTAAAGTTTACTATCGTAATAATCCATTATTATAATGACTTTCATATGATCATAGTATGACTCTTTCTTATTATATCTTGTACGATTAGTGATTATCGTGAAAATTTTGTAGCATAAGAATCTGATTGCTAATGACACTGTGAAAGACGACGATGATGTAGTGCATATAATAGCGGCAAAACATGATCGCGTTCGTGTGAAAAAGATGATTAAAGTGACTAGTTATTTTCTCGAGTCATCTTCGTCTAACACGACCAGTTCGAGAACGCATCCATCTTATGCACTCGTCCTAATGATATAACTGTAATGATGGTCGTCATGCAAAAAGACGAGAGTAGTTCGTTAATTGAAAACAATCCATCTAAGACTCTGAAAGCGTAAATCAAGATAAAAATAAAACCTTCAACAAACGACTTAGTTATGTTAGAGAGTCTATTGAGACAATAAGTAGAAATGATGTAGTCTCTCAATATTCAGCTAAAAATGATGTGAATTCAAAACAATAAAGACATGGATAACTGTACATAGGAGAAGTTGTAGTCTTATGTATTGATTGTGTCTAGACATGTCAAACTCGAAAACATCCCTAACTGATACTCTCCGTTCGAGCTCATATTTTTCCATAAATAGAAATTTTTGAGGTTAAAAAAAAGCTTTAAAGTATTTGTTACATTAGAACTTGTGATGGCTTTAGTGGAATTTTGACCTTCACTAAAGTACTTATAGAAAAACTAACTGAAGAAGTTTTGACATGAAATTTTACTCCTCAATAGGTACCGTGATCGCTAGAATGTTTTAAGAGCTGCAGCCAAAGCAGATGGTTCCTTCATGAGATATTGAATGTTCAAAATACGATTGTATTTTACAGAAAAAGCTAAGAAAATCGACTTTTCTTCAACATTTAATATCTTATAAAGAAAACATTCTTTTCGCTCGTAGCTTTTAGAATATTCTAATGGACATGAGTTTCTATTGAATATCAAAACTTTGGTGAAAAATTCGTTCGTTGGATTTTTTTTATAAACACTTTACCTTAAATCGAAGTTCCAAAAAATAGTCACAGCCCAGTAGGAAGACCTAATAGTACAAAGTCTTTTAGACTTCTTCTTGTCTCACAAAGTTCTACTTGTGAGAAAAAATATCAAGTCTAACACTAGGTATTTTTTGAAAATGTTTTCTTGTAAACGGAAGGATGTAAAGGAAAGAAATAACATTCGAAAATGTATACGGTCTTTGACTTACCTATAGTTTAGACAATTGAGTTGTATGATCAATAGATCAACTTCTCCATATTCATAAACATTCAAAGATGCAATTCAATTCAAATTTATCTCGATTTTCTTCAACTTTTTATATGAATAAAACAAAATTTTTCTTATAGAATATAAAGTTACTTAGATAAGATTGAAAAATACTAATTTGAAGTTTTGCTTTAAGATTTTTTAGTAACCTTTTTTCCTCATCACAGAAACTAGGAAAACTTCATTTATATCGGCAAAAAAAAAATATTAATTATAAAAATTAATTACTAATAATCTAAATTTAAAAAAGAAATCAACTGTTTCACATGATGATTTATGTTTAATTTATATTCAAGTTATTTTCACATTACATTGTTTCCATCTTGCTTTACATTCTAATGAATTATAAAAGATATAATGAGGCAGCTCGCGTTTTATACTTCAATCTACTTTCACACTTATATCATACGAGTATACCA